CTTGCATGTTCAATATATTTTTCTTTTCCTTTTGCATAAAGCTGCTTTCCAATAGGGGTCAGTTTGATTAGAATGAAAGCACAGTCGCTGTACGCCACTGATAAACTGCTCAGTTTCAGTCGGCTGCAGATTTACTCTGAAAGCTTCCTCAAGCGCTATAAAGATGAGGGTTGAATAGTCAGCATTTGTTCTAGCTTTCGTTGTTAGGAAGGAGTAGACCATCTTGGCTTAGCCCTCAGCACGAGGAAGGAAGCAACGTGTCAGCACCTCGGCCCTGGTCCTGAGCTGTGCTAGATACTCCCAGCCTTCTGTGAGCATCAAAGACCTCTGCAGGTGTCTGCCACCCAACCCTCATCTTCTGAAGTCACTGGGCTCTGTGCAGGCACGTGAGGCTCATCAAACGCCATTACTTGCTACTCACAAGCTTCCATGGTGGAGAAGGTGTTAATAAAATGTAAAAGGTTAAAAAAACATCAGATAAGACCTTCAAGATGACATCTCTGTGTTTGGATTATTCTTGTCTTATTTTGTGCTTTATTTAAAAATCTGTGATACTACAGTCAAACCACTGCACTGCTGTTTGAAGTTGCATTTTCACTTCAGGGTATTTTTGTAACTGTACAGTAGCAATAAAAGAACAAACTTATTAGAAAAAGTAGCTGTTCACTTGTGGTAATGTCTTGAAACAAAGACCAAATTATAAGCCAAACTGCATTTGGTATATCCAATAGACGCAGCACTTCCCATTCTCTGGATAAGAAGCATTCTTGCAGGAGCTCTTCCCGCTACATATAGCATTTTCTGGTACTGGCAGAGGGTGGGAAGTACCAACTCCAAATTGTCTAAACAGAGATTAATTCCATAGCTCTAATGGACCTACCGCTGAAGGATAGAGCCCGTCACTAATTCAGATGCTTGTAGCCTGGTTACACAGGGATCAGTTCACATTCTCGCTCAGTACTTACCATTGCTTGATTCCGCAAGACCTGTTGGTGACTTTGGACGGTCTTTCCTCATTTCAGCGGGATTCATTGTGAGCATGGAAGGTGATGGCTTTCAGGTAGTCAGAATGGAATCCCTAGGGATAATTAATTAGAAAAACACACACTCTCAAGTTACAGCCTTTCACGCTGCGTTGGCCATATAAATGGTCCAACCCAGTCTTTCCCCAAAAGGTCATCTTATGCTCCCTGGTTTCTGTACAGACAAAGGACCTAAGGAAGAAGGGGCCCTCTCCCTGTGCAGTAGCACCTCATGCTTCCTCCTGCCCCACCATGCTACTGACCGAAAGAACCCAGTCTCCCATGTCAGCAGAGGAGGTCGATCAGCAGAGGAATATAAGCAGACAAAAGTCATAGTGACTGTAAAACATGCAGCCAGCCATGTTGCACTCACTATATTCATATCTTAGCGCTCCCCTTTTTCATGTCAGTCTCATTTGTATTTTATTTAAAAAACCACAAACAAACCATAGCTTATTGACAGAGCATACAAGAAAGTATCACCTGTTGAAAAGTATCAGCCTCCAGGCTCACGCTAAATGATTACATCTTGTACTTTGCAGTATTTATAAATTATTTCACTGCTATCTGAAGGATATGAAGTATTTCGATCTTTTTGGAAAACTGGCTAGATTAAGATCAGTTGAGAACAAATTTCCTCCTGAGCAAAACAAGGGTATTACTCATTAGAAATATGTATCAGCAGGACTACAGCAACATTTCACGGCGAAAAAGTATTCTTGCCATTTAAGATCAGTAGTCGCAGCCTCTATTAGCAAGTCACCAAGTACGCTATCTCCTCTCCTGGTTTAATTTGTTCATCCGGTACCTTGGATGATAAAAGACAGTGTTTGAACGACAAATTGGCAGCTATGTTGAGGAAGAAAGCTATTTTCAGAGACAAAAGACCTGGTGTTTGATTGCTGAATATTTCACTTCTTGCCTATAGTTATCACTTTCCGAAACGTGAGGTTGATTCTTGGGGCGAGTACTCTCTTGCGGGTGGGCAGGCTGTGGTACCAATACACATTGGTGGGGTACTTCATCATCAGCAGGCTACCGTGGGCTAGCTGCAGTTTGATGGGCTTAATGTGGCGCGTTGCGTTTTTCCCTCTGGAATCACAGTGCCTGAAAACAAAGTCCCTGCAAGCTCCGAAGGACACAGACGCAATCGGACTGCGTGGAACCAGTTCCCTCTCGTCATCTCGATGTTCACCTATGTGGTCCCCACCATCTTTATATCTGTACACAGAATAGATCAGTTAGTTCTTCTACGAATCCAATTAAATGAATGTCAAACAACTCCTCAGTGATCTGTCAACAGTGTTGCACAAGCAATTTTTCATTTGAACAAGTTGCTTGATGCAACTGGAAATCAGACATACCTGTTAATAAGAACAAAATTAAAAGTATGTCCTGTGTCCAAAGTGATGCGGTCTCTGATACGGTTGAGAACTGGGATCCACGGCTTAGGAGCGAAGGTGACGCCCGAATAAGTGTATGTTAACTCAGGGTCTCCATAGGTTACCTGCTTCCTTGGGATGTCATGCCACTTGCCAAACACGTGCAATTTCGTCATTTCACCTGTTTAAACAAGAGATAAGAAGGATCAAAACCAACTCTATTACATCTGCAGTTCAGAGTTTCAACATTCTCCTTGATTTGGAGCTTCTGTGAATCTCCAGTGGGACAACAGAAATGAGGATGCATCATAAGCTGTCAGCCGTGTTCAAGTGTTTCTGTCCCAACAAAGTGCTTAACGCTCAAGTTTGACGCTGACTTACTATCCCCCTTGAATGGGATGAACGGGACTAGCACCCCCACCATATTCTGTTGTTGAATTAATGTGCCCGGGGATACGTCATGTACTACATCTACCAACAAACTCCTGTCACCCTTCCAGGACTACCCCGGTTCTTTGGAAACACTAAAACGTGAATGAAACTGCTTGCACATGCTTCAAGCTAAGCAAAACTAACCCTGCAGGATCAGACCTGTGCTTGCGCTTCACTTCGCAGGGCCTGACTTGGCAAACACCAGGCGCCTGCAGAAACCTCTCCACCGCCTGGCAGCTCTGCCCGGGCCATGGGAATCGTTCCGGGACTTGCCTTGGGCAGGCCGGGCAGGGAAACGCCTCACCGGGCAGGGGCACGGGGGGTGTGCGTGGCACCCGGAGCTGGACGCCGGGTCCCCCGACGGCCGTTACCTTCGAAGTACTGCACCTCCTCTTCCAGCTGCTGGAAAATCTCGTCAGCCTCGGCCTTGCCGAAGAGGAGCCGATAGTCACAGGT